TTTACGTGCTTTTCGGAGCACGGGGGTGAAACACCGAAAACTTCCTGACTCCGGGCAACTGTTGAGAATTTCTTGACGGAAAACTTAATAATTGATTTTTGGCCCGACCCGGGATTCGAACCCAGGACCTCATGATCAGCAGTCGCACTACTACAACTACTAGACCAACGAGGCAGTCAACTAGTATACAGGATGTTAGTGTAAACACCGTTATCCTTGAAACCAGTGGTTTGGTTTCACTTATAGAAAGAAAATTCAATGTATAACATTTTTTTTAGTAAAATCTCAATTTTTCCTTAATTCCTCAATTTTGCCTGTTGCCTAAGCCAGGATGAAAGTATGAAGGAAAAGTTACATCACAGGTTATATGTACCTATTGTGTTTTTATTTGAATGTAGAGTAGGTAGCTAGCGCGGGTGGTTATCTTTACAGTGATTACGTCACTCGGGCGCATAGGGTATCCATGAATTTACGGAGGGTGTCGGGCAGAAACTTTTTAAATTTTATGAAAGAAAATAGCGTTCTTTTTTAAATTCATTGAATTTACGTTCTATAAGTGAAACCAAACCACTGGTTTCAAGGATAACGGTGTTTACACTAACAACTTGTATATACAGAGTAAAGCACTACCTCAAACGTTTCGCGTTATGCGGCGTGCAATAACATTTTATTTCAGAATTAACATTCATAGAGATATGTAGTGATAGTGAGAGTGAGAGTGAGGGTGAGATATGAGATACTCGTATAAATCGACAAGTCAATCAAAAAAAAAAAAACAATCGATTTTTTTTTGTTGATAATATTTAGACTATTTAAAGTGTTGATATAAGATATTACTTATCAAATTACCATACCATATAGTAGTTACCATTGTAGTATTTGAAAATCAAATTAAGCATTACTCCGCGTTTTGAAGCATTCAAAGTTGAATTATAATCCATAAAGAATATCGATGTCAGTATTAAGATGTGAACTTTTTCGTTTTACGTTTTAAAGAACCATTTCCGAACCAATTTTGAAAAAGAGAAAATTACTACTTTACGTAAACATAAATCGAGAAAATCCAGTTTTTGATCAAAATATTAGACTAATTTTATTTTATGATAAACTTAAACTAACATAACCCCAGCTTAAATTTTTTCATAAACCGAAATAAGTTCAGGTTTTTGATCAGAAGACAAGTTTTTTTCAGGTTAGTGGTAAGATTAAGTAATAATTTTGTCACCTTCCGGTTCTTGATCAAAAGACTAGGTTTTCGATCAAAAACCCGATCTTGCCATAAACCTGCGACGTATATACTCAAGTATATATGTCGCAGGCATGTAATCAATTAAAACAGCTCAGTAGTTATTATTACATATTGCATTAGCAATAGAGTTTACAAATATTGACCAAATCGAAAATCGTAAATGATCGAAAACTGAAACGCTTAGCTACTATTTCTGCTACCACTTTAAATCTATTAATTTGCTTCTTTCTGTTACTAAGAGTGAAACATGAGTACACAAGCTGTTGTAACTTAATGGTCACAGTGACCTGGTGACATGACAGACATCTGAACTATACATTGGAGTAGACGACCCTGGGGATCGAGATGGATGGATGGAATGCCTCACTGCCACGATTGGGTCGAGGATCCCGCCGCATTAAGAATCATTTAAGACCGAGATTGTTATTTAGGTAACGTCTTATTTCATACTAGTTACCGCTATTTCAATCCCGTGTAGTTTAGGATTTTGATTTTTTTGCGCTTACCCTCAAATATTTTTCTAAAATAAAAGTTGTGAAAGTTACTCCTTATAACATCAGCTTTCTACCACTCAAAGTCCCGTCCAAATCGGTATAGCTGTTTCGGAGAATTGCCGGTACAAACAGACACAGGCGAGACTTTTTTTAAATAGGGCGTTTGTTATAAGTACAGTATATACTTTCATATACATTAAGTAAAAAGCTGTTATTTTGGCATTACAAATCAATATTTCAATTTTATTTATTTGTATAGAAAACCGCTACTGATATGAATATTAGATTTCAAGATTATCATTTCAAATTTAAGATAAAAAATTAACACATTAAACAAAAATTATAAGATCTTTCGTCTCTTACGTTTCTATATATGTTAAAAGTTGAATTTTTTTTATAATTATTTAATAAAAAATAAAACAAGCACAGTTTCAAATAAACCATTGTTTTTATTCTTTCCACATAAATACTTAAAACGGACTGATCCATTTAATAGCAAACAATAGCTTGTTTTGTTAACGTTTATCTAAGTACCTAACAATGCTCTGAAATAAGTGACTAAGCTCTTCTTCTAAGTCGGTCAAGTTATTAATTAAAATAAAGAATACCGACACTGTAGAGACAAGCCAGTAGTTTGATATGTATATAAGAAATTATTATTTAATTTTATACTTATATTTATTGCATACATTTCACATAGAAAAATCAATTGGAAGACAGGGGAATATGTAGATGTCTTTCGTATGAAGTTATTTCGAAATGGTACTGAAATTACACAATATTTTAATGATATATTAAAACAGTAAATATATGGATATTATATTGATATAAACAAAATTGCTGTTGATATGATTTAATAACTTATAGAATAATCATAATTACACTATCAAAAGTCTAAATTTTACTAAAGAACATTTGTTTCAACTTCAACGACAGTGGTATTTATCATCTCATTCAAATGCATATCGCTAAAGTCAGACAGGTGAAAAGACAAGTGTAGACGATCGACGTAGAAACCTTGATATTTATAGGTAATTTGTAGAACATTCATTGTCTTATAACGTGCCTCACTTTAGCGTAGTTAATCGTGCCGCCTTTGTTTTGAATAACGTTACAATATTCGTTTTCACATTTGGAACAAATAATATAATAATATAATTTGGGTTTGAAATTGTTAGCATACTTCAAATAGAGAGAGACTTTTATTTCGAAACCTGTAAGCTATAAATTGCAATAATTCCAAATTATAACAGAGCATATAAACCTTGAGCTTGTTCCATTAACAACATTTCGCTTTTAACCTTATAGATAGACACACTTAGAAAACATTTTTACATAACACAAAAATATATATTAATAGGTACAAATTTACATTCGTAAGTCACTGGTCCATAGCTCAATAGTAAAATTACGTTAATTAATAAAAGCTGTGATACAAACTTACAATACATTAATCACCTATCAACAAATTCGTTGAAATATAACTATATAAAATATCTATCAGCTATTGTAATATTATATTGTCCGATTTAAAGCGTAGAACCGTAATACTTTTTAAAAATATTCTCCATCGAGTAATGTTAACAATATTTAATTAAGGAATTATGAAGGAAGACCTCTTTTAAGGCTCAAAATTACCATAAGAATTACAATCATATACAGATTAGCACCTTGTAAATCAATATTTTTGTTTCGAATTCGCTTTATTAATTCCTATTAGACAGGTTATGTTTTGATTGTTTTACTGTATAAGACGAATATTAAAGGTTCTTTTATTAAAATACGTTACAGTATTAGATATACGTTTTAAATTATTATTCTGTTTTTAAAATTGTATATTATATAATACACTATTTTGGCAATTAAGGAGATTACCACAGGTAAAAACTCTTACTTAAATTTACGTTGAAATTATTGAAATATTAAATTTATATTTGTGAAAATAAAAACGCAGCAGTGTTGTAACAAGCGTTTAGCTTTTTAAATCCACATTGTAAAATTATTATGCAGGTAATTTTAAATTGTAGGCAGTTTTTACAAACATAAAAACTTAATGTGACTAAATAAGTATCGCTTATCATATTATTGTATTCGGTATTAATATACTGAGCTTTCTTCAGGTGTGGTGTAAATAAATGCTATGTATAGAACGACAAAATTATACATCAATTTACTTATAATTATATGTATATTATATACAGATTGTATGTATATTTGTGACCCTGTATATAATTGTAGACAATAGTAGCCTCAGAAATATTAAGTTTTATACAGTAAGGCTCTTATTTACAATTTAACTCTACACAGCTTTAAAATATATTCTTAATTCTAGCAGGGTCATTTAGCACCGATTTTTTTTTTAAATTTATTACGAACAAAAGAGCACGGAGGACGAATAAAGTTTTTGTACGTTTTTATTATTTTGTATCTGTGCTCATTAGTGTGACGTTAATAACTTATTTTTTGTGTATTTTCTCAAAATTTTTTGCACGTGTATTAGTTTTCAAAACATACAAAAACTTTGAAATGTAAAAATTAAATTCAAACTATTTGGACGGCAACACGTAACATATCATATATGTATTTACATTACAATATTAAGTCATTATTCTTAAACGTCTTAAATTGATAACTAAATGCAAAATCTAAAAACAGACAGGAAGACTTAAAACTGGACTCTATGACTAAACAGTAAAGATACAATAAGTAGGCGATATTATAAAAATTATCTTCAACGAGTTGGTGATGAAATTGGCGACTCTATTTTATTTTGTATTGGGAAAGTCAAGCGAATAAAAAAATTCAAATAAAAAATCTGGATCTGCATTATATGGTTTAGTTAAAGATAGTAAATTTAAAAAATTTAATTCTATGTAGTGCCATAATTAGGTAATACAGAGAGTATGCGTTGAAAGCTTTCGGATCTATTTGTTTTTAAAGCATAAAAAATGTTTAGGGCCTCATATTCTCTGTATTAAAAATTTACAGCAAATAATTAAGATGTTATATTAAAGCACCTTACCATCTTTAGTTAGATTAATAAAAGAATTATTGGCGTACCTTAATAAACCAATATAGTAAGGTGTAAAAAATGAGCGGCTTTGTAAATAAAAGCTGTGAGAAGTAGACTTGTGTCGCAACGAATTAAATACAGTAACTACCTCGTAAATGCATCGCCTACATTCCCCAATGATTTACTCAAGAACGCTTGTACGTAAGCGGTTTGAAACAGACTATGTTACGATATCTTGTATTTTCTAGCTAGGACTTGTTGAGTTGCTCCTTGGCTCCGGCTTGAGAGCGGCGCCGTTCAGTCGCGGGGTGGTATTGGGGGTGGTGACCGGGGTCACGGTGGTGGTTGTGGCCTGGCAACTTGCACAGGGCTCCAGTCGCCGCGCCACCACCGCACGCAACTTCAACGCCGGTCCCAGCTTCATTTGCAACATCCCTGTTAAATGCTCTTCTGTTAGAAGTGGCAGGCCGGAACCGTCGATTCTCTGCTCGCGGAAATTCTGGAAAAATGAACGAATATTTTAATATACGCTGACTTGAGATACTATAATTCTTTCATTCATTACGTTAAAAAGGACAGTACAAAACCCCTTTATAAGATCGACTAAATAGAGTTATAGACGGATTTTAAAAATAGACGAACTAGAATGAGATAAAAGTAACTGCCGGTCCAAACTGAAGAAAGGTTGCTGAAGAGAAAGCAATGGAAGATGTTAGAGTAAGTCTTTGCCAAGAAGCACGCTGAACTGAATTACTTTCTGTAAATATCACAATAATTTAAACAACCACCGTATAGTGTTCAAGATAAAAGGCTTATTTATTGATTGAAAGCCATACGCATTGGGGTAGCGGGGCTAAATCTACTATGCTTCAAAACACCTCTTAAAAATGAGTTAAGCCTTTAAACATGTCCAGCCAAATCCTAGGGTGTTATTTATTTTACTTTTACACAAAAAAAATGTAAATACTTATTGAATGCTCATACATTATCACTACGTTTATATAAAAAAATTAACATAATTCTTTGAAATTTCAGAACGATTTTTTTATTCTCTACATAGACACGCATACTAACAAGTGCGAGTGAAATAATGTTATTTCATTTTTACGTGAAAAATTTTATTCGCAACTGGCAAGGCCCTATTAACATTAGCATCGCATGGGAAGCTGTACGAAGTTTTAAGGTTTATTACTGGCCGGCTTTGCGTCCACTGCATTGCACCTGTCGCGGTGTCATGCAGAGCATTACGTGTGACATATCTTGATACCTACATTTATTTTTATTATTTCTTAAATCCAATGATTATATGTACTTACGTACAGGTTCAGAAGTTTAATATTTATAGTCGACTTCAAATAAAGAAAAGGCTCTCAATTAGAGACTAGGTTTTTTGTGTGTACTATGTTATGCTATATATTTGTTAATTGTGAACCGATATTTTTTAAATAGGTTATATTACAGTGTTGGAGGTTCTATCAAATATTGAAGAAAAAATTTCACCTTTAAAGGGGATAAAATTTTTAATATAACTAAACTACATCGCGATGGTACTTTCCTCTTATCGCATTCTATTAGTACTTTTACGGTAATATTAATTAAGGGACGACTATATTAAAATCGAGTACTGAGCGATTTTATCTTGAAAATGGTTTCGAGACAATACTTTCGCAAATGTAAACTTCTATTGAACTAGTTTCGAATCTATCATTGAAGTTTTTTTATATTTTAGCACACGGATGGTTTTAAATTATTACAAAAACAATGACAACATAATATAACGGCGCAACCGAGCGCGGTACCGTGATTAGTGGCGGTGCCATTTTTCTCAACAGATGAAGCGCGAAAATAACTTTTGCTTGTCACACGGAAAATTTTAAATTCATGTTTTAAAACGACAAAAATATCATCGTAAACATAATCACTTTCGCAATGATATATTCGTTAATGTAACACGTTTTTTTAACTTTAAAATAATACGTTTTTTTAACTTTAACGTAACGGAAATGTTTCAATTTATGTTTAAAATGGACAAAAATATCGTCGTAATATACCGATATTCACTTTCGCAACGATATATTCGTTTACGTAACAGCGGCTTCAGCTTTCGTTTATTCTTTATGTTGTATATACACTATACGTATAGGTACGGCCTCACTCATAAAAATCGACGTCAATTTAAGTAATACTCAAAGTTGATCTCTCTCTCTCTCTCTCTCTTTCTTTGAACACGGCAAGAAACAAACAATAGAGTAACAAGATTATATAATTATAAGTAAATACCCTAAATGTTAAGAGTATAATATAAGTATTGGTAAAAATAAATAGTATTAATGAAATATTAATGAGATAAAAGCTATCCGACCCGGTTTCACACGAGTGATTTATTGAACTCGACTTTAGCGTCACCTACCGGGTCCAAATGTGAATCTAAGCCACCCTGGGACTCATTCAAAGACACACAATCAAAATCGGTTGAGCAGTTTATGAGTTTTAGCGAAATTAACGGACAGCAATTGATTTTAATATATAGATAAGACCAAAGATAATCGCAAGTATCAAGACCGTTGTGTTTAAATGACGCCAGGTCGCGGCCGCAGCGTCCAGCGACCTGTCATCTCGGCGAGAACGTTGACAAAAAGCGAGCCGCCTACGTGACGTCCTGCGCCTCTTTCCCCCCGATCTGAGCACCGAGTTATGGACCTCCCCCCTCGCTTCTTCACGCTCGACCACTTTTTACTGCGCGACATTTGCCCGGAGTTCGATCCGTGTCATCCGACGTATTCCTTTTTTAAATTGCGCCGGCACTTGATTATTTTATTTTTTTAATTTTATATAGCATCAAGAAATAACCGGGCGGCCGTCAAGCGGTAAAAAGCGGTAGCGTATAAAAAGTCTATGAATAATTAAAGTGAGATAGCTGGTAGCTAGCTCATGGGAACGGAATTATTTAGCGGCGACAGGTCGCTGCGCCCGCGGTTGCCTTTCTGAAGGACAGGTCAATTTGCCGGAGTCATTTTGCTTCTATCTCGATGCCCATTATTGCTCGGATGCTCATCGTATCTCAGTGAAATTTATTTTTATGCAAATCGACTGAGGCCAAGCGATGCATAGGTATCTTGAGTCGCTTGAAGGTAAATCGGATTTAAATAAAGTGGAACAGAGGATTGGCCTGACCTGTATAACCTTCGGACGGTGTGGTTTGAGGGCATATTTATGTTTAATGGGGGTTACGGAGATGTGGAATCGTTTTGGGATTCTTTAATGCCAATGCCCTGGAGTCAGAACTGACCTGCGGTTTGTTCAAATGAAATGATATTGTAGAAAATTATTTAATTGGTTCACAAATTATACGTATCAGGCTTAGGCTTTTGGTTAAGGAATTTCGTTAATTTTTTTGTTTATAAACATTTAAGAAGCCACAGTTATATTAAAATAACAGCCGATAAGCATTCTTCATTAATTAAAAAAAATGTATGTTAACACACGTATTTATGATTTAGAGTAGAACTAGCAAAAGATTATTCATTATTTCTTAAGTCAATTACATTCGGGTAAGTTCCGTTTATAATAGATTTTTTTTAAATTGTAATATGAAAGTGAAGTAAGTTTGACCTTTTATCACGCAGATGCTGCATTATATTTTTAATGTTAATAAGGTTAATTTCAGAAACGCCATTAAATGTAATGAATAAACTCCTTATTATATAAACGCAGGCCTGCTTTTAACCCGCAAGATAGGTCCCCGAGCGATAACTTTAAATACGTTCGAGAGCACATTGCGTTTTACGCATGCCATATAGTTAACAGGTTACAGATACGGCGTATCGCCTGTGGCCATGAACCGATGTTTAAATTGCGTGAGTGTTGCCACAGCAGCCGTATCCCGTGAACAGGTTGTGGGGGGAGCAAAAAAGGTTAAAGTATGTTCCTCTGGGTTCCGGTGAGGGGGGAGGTGAAGTGGTGAGGGCGGTGGGGACTAATGACAGGGGCGGCGCGGCGCCCGCGGCGGCTACCGCGCGCAAATTGATGCCTGCGCCCTCTTTGGAACCTTTGCTCCCGGCTAGTGATGCGCCAGTCGATAAATTATAACAGGGAGCACGCTCTGCGTGGAGTTATGGTGCCCGGTTTATCGATGCTATGTGATTAGTACCATAACATGCTCGATAATTTTATGTTGGTGGATATAATTTGTTAAGCGACTAAATTACATGTAGAGAGTATATTAAACATTTTATTTTAATAAATTTTATTATAAAATAAGTCATTTAAATATTTGTGAACCTAAACATTAAAACTTGTAAAAATTTTAGAGAACTCCATCATGTATTTATGCATCATTCTTGTTATTTCTTAGGATCGACTTAAATGAGTAGGCATCGATATCGATCATAAACATGACGTCACTAGTAGTGGCCAACATTACTTTATAAAGATTGCTATTAAGTAAAGCATGGACGCACTGACTTATATTTAGAGCTGACGGTACGCGGCTGTAGAGTCATCCCGTAATTATATCCAGACGTTCGCCATTTCACCGTTGCTTTTATTTCTTATACATATAAATTCAGTTGAAATGTGCGTTTGAATAAGTTTAAAGACGTACCAATACTTGTAATATAAATGAAATGAAAATAATTTCACTGATCTTATCGCGTTTAATTAGGTACAACTTTTTAATTCCCAACGCCTGATGTGCTTTAAAACACCCGTGGTCACAGGGGAGCTACCTATGACATCGAAACTTTGACGTTACGATTTCATAGTTGGCCCAGCTACCATCCATGTTGAGGCTATTTATATAAAGAAATCTCCAAATTTTAATAGAGAACATGGATGGGTGCTGCTATCTGCTCGGGATTCTAAAATTAATAAAATTAAATCCAAACCCCAAGCATACTACTGCAAGACTTCAAGATACTGTAAGCTTGTACTGTGTAGATTAGATTAAATCAAAACAAAAATTCTAAAGCTGTTGGTAACCGATCTAACTATGACGTCGAGTCGTCAAACACCTTCACCTTCACTGACTATGTTGTAAAACACTCGAAATGCCGCGAATTAGCTAGTTGAAATTAAACGCGACAAAATCCGTAAATTTAATTTCATTTAATGTGTAGCATTTGCGTTAATATATGAAATCATTATATTTTTTATTTATCTACCGTTATGACGCAAAGAGGTTATGACGGTGACGATGGCATAAAAAATTTACAATTTTTGAACGCTGTCGTACACTACCAACTCCACGGTAGTCACTATAGTCACGGTAATATATAACGCGAGCCCCGAAAGAGGCCTTTTTTTTTGAAAAAAAAAAGAAAAAAAAAAAAAAAAAGTTAAAAAAAAAAGTTGAAATGTTTTTTTTTTTTTTTTTTTTTTTTTTTTTCTCATTTTTTTTATATATCACAAAAAACCGCACGATATAGATAAAATTACCGTGCTATAGTGCCACAAGTAGGCGCGTCAACATATCGGCACTTAGTCATCTTAACATATTCT